ATGATGGTTTTCTTACCACCCTTCTCAACCAGTGCTCCGTCACAAAACCCCTAGATTCCAAATTTCGTGAACGTGCTTAAGCGGCGTTTGAAGATATTCAAGCGTTGCTATACTTTTTACCGAGAATACGGTGTTGTCATATTTCAGCAACTAAACTGCTGGAACTTCGATACGCATAAAGAAATTTTTTGCCTATTTTTGAAGTCAAATATCTCAGAAAGTATAAGAGATATTTGATTGCGGTTTGAAGCATATTGGGGCGCATTGTTTGGTTCTAAGGTAAATGGTACCGTACTGATGAACAGAAACGTTATCTTCAACATACAGGGTGGACAATAAAACAGTGCAAAGTCTGACAAATTTCAGGGTGTCGCTATTTCTTTTCAAATATACTCCTGCTTTTTTTCTGGGTTCAAGAAGAATCAGTAGTTCAATAGTAAAAAACAACTTGAAGGGTTTTTGAATAAATCTCGTAGTTTCGCAGAAATTTCAGTTTAACTGAAAAACGACTTTTATCACCCTGATTCTTCGTTTCAGTTACTCAAAACAATTTTTTTCATTATTATTGGTTTAACGTTTTCGTCTTTTTTGGTTTTGAGAAGATTTTATACAGGGTGAAAAAAAAATTAAGTTTTATAACTCATTATTGGGAGGTCCGTAAAGATAATTGTATGTGAATAATTGGGTCTCAAAGTAACAAAGATAGCACGCGTCGTAACACGTAACATGAACTGCGATTTATAGGGGGCACAGTTTTATTTGTTAATTGATATGGCACCAATTTTTTTTCTGCTTTATTGTATAACCATTCTGAGAGCAAAATATGATTATATTATGTTTCCTAGGTAGAAAAGCTATTCTGTTCTCGCAACGTCGAGATATTTGGTGAATTATTAGCACGTACCATGTCATAAGGGGGCTACTTATATACAGGGGTGGTAAAAAGTACCGGAACCGTTGAATCTCTTCAAGCCCACCTCGAAGCCCACTTATGCTGCTTTCCCAGATTTCATTATCTGGAGGTTTCAGGGCAAACAAAATTGCACAATGATGTAGGGTAAAGCTGGTAGATCTGACAGCAGCGCCGATATCCTTGAATCATTTAATTTTGTATCTCCGGAAACTCCCAGATAAATAAATTTGACAAAGCAGGTTATTTAAGCGGGTTTGGAAGAGTTTCAACTGTTCGGTACTTTTTACCACCCCTGTATAAATAGTCCCTCTGATGACATGGTACATGCTAATAATTCACCAAATATCTCGGCGTCTCGAGAACAGAATAGCTTTTTCACCTAGGAAACATAATATAATCATATTTTGCTCTTAGAATGGTTATACAATAGGCAATTTTTCGCGAGGATAATCAAACATAATCTGATTAGTCTGAGTTATTTGATGCGTCAATTGTGTCATACTTCCCTTAGTCTCTCTCCATCCAATTCTGTACTGCGAGTGACGTCACTATCAGCAGCTTATAGTAATGATGTCACCCGCAGACCTCTATGGAATGCTTGCGATTTAGGCTGTGCTAGTGAGCTAATTTTTTCGTCGATTTCAAGGTACGGTTTGTTAGGGCATTGCGCGACGCACAACTCACATTCTGTCGAACGCCACGCACGTCTGCTAAAATCAACCGAGTGTAAGTTATATAGACCGGTTTGTTGGCTTTGCGCAGGTGAGCGCAACATACAGCGTCAGCAGTGTGTCAACATCATGCTGAATAGATTCTGCTGACGTTTACGTTGTGAGTTGTGTGTCGCGCACTGTCCCAAGAAACTGTTCCTTCAAATGTAGAAAAGGTGATTTTCGGTCTATTCTCACAGAAGAAATTAAGTGTTCTTGATTCTCGAGTATTCCAGAATTTGATGGTGGGAGAGTTAGGGAGCATGACACAATTGACACATCACATAATACAGCATAGCATAATCGATTATACTTGATTATCCTCGCGAAAAATAGCCTAATAAAGCAGAGAAAAGTTGGTAAGTACCATATCAATTGACAAAGAGGACTGTGCTCCCTATAAATCGCAGTAGGTACATGTTACGTGTTGGGACGCATACTATCTCTAGTTACTCAGAGGCGCAATTATCTTCACGGACCATCCAATAATTATTATTGAAAACTTACATTTTTTCCACCCTGTATGAAATCTTTTTGAAACAAGAAAAGATAAAAACGTCGAACCATCAACAATAATGAAGAACATTGTTTCGAATAACTGAGACAAAGAATCAGGAGGATGATGAAAGTCATTTTTCAGTTTAATTGAAATTTCTGCAAAACTACGAGATTTATTCAAAAACCCTTCAAGTTGTTTTTTACCATTGAACTACTGATTCTTCTTGAACCCAAAAAAAAAACCAGGAGTATGTTTGAAAAGAAATGGCGACGCCCTAAAATTTATCAAACTTTGCACTGTTTTATTGTACACCCTGTATGTTCAAGATAACGTTTCTGTTTATCAGCACGATACCATATACCTTAAACACCAAACAATGCGCCCCAATATGCTTCAAACCGCAATCAAATATCTCTTATACTTTCTGAGATATTTGACGACAAAAATAGGCAAAAAATTTCATTATGCGTATCGAAGTTCCAGCAGTTTAGTAGAGATAGAATTTTGGAAGTTTGGAATCTTATCAAATTTGGCAGGCCCAATTAATTGCAATAAAAATAAATGGGGTATGTTATTTAAGATAACAAAAAGACTACGTATAGCGCAAAACTGGAAAATCTGGCAACATTGCCAATAGCACTGTTGAATTCCGCATGCCTGAATACTGCCAGAGTCAGTCTGCTCTGCCGTGGAATCCTCCAGGCATAATGTATTGTCAGGTGTCAAGAACTTAGAACATTGTTTTTCATTTTTAATCATTCTATGGTGTGTTTGATTACAGTTATGAGAGATTCTTTGGCTTGCGCTTGAGAGGCCATCAAGGTATCTTTCAGAGCAAAGAGCTCTTGGTTAGTTTTTTTCAGATCAACCACATAAACATTGTTTACTTCTATTGAGTCTCTATGGTTGTTTTCATGTTTACAGTAATGAACTTCAAATCTGCAAGCTCCTTGCAGACAGATTAGCTCCTCAAATAATTGTTTCTCTTCCTGTAGTTCTTCATATTTCTTCCTTAGTAATGAAATTACCTTATCAACTTCAACGTTTTCTCTTTCCAAGGTCTTGATTTTATTCTCAGCAAAGAACTTAGTATAGGAAACAGAGTCTTCAAAGTCTTGCGTTCTTCCTAAGAATTCTTTTCTAGTTAATCTTGTGACTTCTTTTTCACTTTTTGTCAATTTTAATAAGGATTTTTTCATTTTTTCTTGTTTGTCTAGAAGTTCTTCTTTAGTGGATTTAAGATCCTCCTCCAGATTCATTATTTTGGTCCTACATTCTTGAAGCTTCTCTTCAGATTGTCTCCTTGAAGCAAATACGTCGTCCTCAAAGTCCAAATTTCTTCTTCTCATCCTTGTTATAATATCATCTTTAACCTTTATGATCTGGTTCAACTCATAAATTTGTCTCGTATGTTCTACCTTAACTTCCCCTTGATCAATCTCTAACAATCTTACAATTTCTTGAAGTTTTTTATTATCCTGGTATAGTTTTTCCAAATTTTCATCGCTACATATATTTCCTAGACGTATCTTGCAATTTTCACAATAAAAAATTAATTTCCTTTCTACTAAAGATGAGGTGTGTGCTTCGGACGTGCTAATAGCAGCACATTTTTTACAATACACCAATTTGCAACATTGCAACAGTTGCAAGTTGATCCGAAGAGTTCGCTTTTATTTGGCCTATCCCTAAATACACAGTTGGCCTCACATTTTGAGCATATGAGCTGTTTAAAACGATCCGATTTTTAATTTTAAAATATTGTTAGAATATATTTGGGAAACAAAAAATAATAATAGACAAGTGTTGGCTTATTAGTCACCTGTGAGTCCTGGAAGGTCAGTTCCTTATCGCAACAAAAAAAAATTATTTAGTTTGTTAACTATATTTATTTAGAAATTACTTTGTTTCTTCATACATAATCACTAGTTTTTTATGATAGTATTAAGACACAATCCAAAAGTACTTTTTCCGCTCTTTCTTTTAACATTAAACTTAGTAATTAACTTTTGCCGTACCTACACAGTAGATATTTGTTGTTAAACAGGACGTAAATTTATTGTCGTCTTTTCCCATACATGCCGACACTCCATTAGGCATTAAGCCTAACTCCAGGGTAAACATTGCAACTGGACACGTTTACCCTGGAGCTAAAACCAACCCGGAGGTGAAAACCGACCCTGAGGGGACTAATAGACCCAAAAGGTTATTAGATACAAAATACGCGCCATTGGCACAGATTCTACTGTTACCGTGGATAATTCTTGTGCTCTGATTACTTTTATTATCAAAAGAACCTCCCAAGAACGCCCAACCTAAAAATGGAATCCTACATCTTGTCATACTCGAGTCAAATTACTAGTTGTAAGTAAAGTTTATTATATTTACTTTTGGCTCTTCAATAGGTATTGTCACTCAACTTTAGCAACAACGTGATTCCTCGGCGCATAGTGTTTATATAACGATTAGAACTGGAAAGTTTTAACAATATAATGTGAGCAAAGACAGAAAACATTCAGATATTTATATTATCGAGAAGGCCACTTTTTGAGTTTTAAGCTCGAATTTTGCCTGTGTGAAACAGATAACAGTTTGATGATAATTTAATGCTCTTGTTTCAATTACTAAGTTATATTTATTATTGGGTCACAACAGTACTAATGGCAAATCCACAAAATTGGGTTTGACATGGCAAAAGATCATTCATAGTGTAGTCGGAATGCCGTGGCTGGTATGGTATGTATGTATTTTTTCCTAAACGTAAATCGACTTCACTATATAAACGTTTTCAATACCTATTCCTGAATTGAGAATCACTCAATTTGTATTGATGAATAAAGCTTCAACAGCAAAGTAAATCTTTCTTTCTTCTCAATAGGACCTTGACGAAGAGAGAAGCTCTAGCCCACGCCCCCCTGAAAAGCACTATTACCAACCACTACCATTGGAACCAACCCACAATGAACCAGTAAAACCATTTGAACCCATCACAAAGTTTGAACCGCTAAAACCATTTGAACCTTTAAAACCGTTCGAACCACCCGAATCGTTTAAACTAACAAAACAAATTGAGGCCCATACGAATAAAAGTGTTGATCAAGAAGTCCTTGGTGAGACAATTGAAAGTATTTATTGCGAAGCACTCTCAAAAATTAGTCAAAACGATGAAGAAAAATTTCAAAAAAATGAAACTGGCAAACTTGATAAAAACGCACGAGAAACAATAAGCAAAATGTCTGAATCAGATCAGAATCCAGAAGAAGGTTACAGCCTTCAAATGAATATCCCACCTCCACTAGACCACACCCAATTCTTCGAAAAAGATTTTATTGATGCAAACAACAACAGTGAAGTTTCCTCGTGGCTTCCACCAGGATATATTCCAGTAGAAGCTCTTTCGCCTTTAAAGCTTTCTGACTTGGAACCACCTAAATTCAGTGGACATGCAGATGCTCCACCCCAAATCACGTTGACAAGTGATAGTAATACTGATGTTCCGCGTGTACTTCAGTCTTGTGACAGGAGTACTAGGGCAGAAATTGAAGAGGAGAACATTAAAAAAGAGTTGAAGGGGATCATATCGGATTTGGATAATTATGCCGAAGCGGATAGAGCACTACGAGGGGATGTTTTGAAGCAGGTAAGAGTAACTTAAACTGCAAATATATCTCAAAATATTACTGTTTACTTATTTCATATATCCGGTTATATTATAATGAAACCCAAATATATTTCATTAAAACAGCAATTTTTTACAAAAAAGTACCTACCTATTTTTTGAGGTTTTTTTTTTCAGTCTTAAGTTTTAAAGTCACCGAATAATCTGTTGTGAAAGTGAAAAATGAAAACTATTTTGAATACATAGAAAAAATCTGGGGCGTAAATAAAATGTAGGTATATTACGTTTATTACAGTACTCGTGTGGTTGCCGCGACTCGGTCTACGCCCACGTCGCGTCGTGGCAATATTTCCCACTCGTTATTGTAATGAAGGTCACTATTATTTGACTAACTTTATAAAATTAACTATTCTTTTTGGACTCTGTGCAAATTGGCATTTATACAGATTCTGTGTCTTTTGACCTGAACTAGCAAAAAATGCTTGTTTTTCAGATTTGTTTTCTCGCATTCTAATTATAATTATTATTATAAGTAACAAAATAAATAGGAAAATAGGTACCTCTATTATTTCAAATCATAAAAAATTGCTATTTTATTTTTCTTTTTATAGTCTAGGAGGCAGTGACGATTTTCGGTACTTATTTTCCCAGTCAGACAACTTGGATAGAATTGAAGGGTTAGTAATTTTAAGCAAAATACAAATATTTTAAGGGGGGGTTTTCCGATGGGTTGAGGCGCAAAATGCATTAAAGCTTACGAATGCACGGCTCTTTTTTTTCTCAGTGATAAAAATAGGTCTACTAATGAGAAGTATACTGAACTGAAGTTACGTAAAAAAATAGTCCGGCTAATCTGTGAGTATGAATAATATGTCTGGCAAGTGAAAAATTGAAGATCCGAAAATTTTCAGCCCGACTCACTTTCACTATCTGAGATAAGCCAAATTGCTATTTTCATATACTTTATGTTCTATTGTAGTAAATGTGAAATATTTATGTCTGGGAAAATAAGCGTATTTGTATTTTTCATTGATCTTGTGAACCCATCCGAAAAATTTAGCCAGACTCAAAAATTCTTGCTTTGTATCACTAGGAGAACAAACTATTTCATACCTTGCGTTCGGTATTTTGCTCAAAGTGTAGAGCGAGCTGAGCGGAGCCGTAATCACGTGACCAGCGAGCGAACGGAGCAGTTGAAAGCTGTATAAAAGTACCGGAAATTTTAATAAACGAACGCGAATGAGGCTGCACCGAGTACACTTTTTAAATAAACGAACGGTAAAGTCAAGGTCGGAGAACTCAGACCAAAATAACGAACGCACGGATAGATACCAACTGGGGAAATAAGTGCTAAAAAATTTCACTGCCTCCTGGACTATTATGAAGTCTGTAATATTTCAGATAAATCAAGAATTTATGGGAAAACATGGAGAAGCCAATGGTTATGAATCGGTGAGTCTTGCATGCATCAAATTTAGAATGTTTTTCACAAGTTGCTCTAGCTAGTTATTATCGGTGAGGTCATGATGGGTACTAAGCATGGGTGTGTAAAAAGTAATGAACTAGATTTTTTAATTTAAAAACAAGAAAATACAGGCTTTCCAGTTTCCAGAATAAGTTAAAGTACATAAGGATTGCGGAAACCATTGAAGATATAGAGTGGACCAAATTAGGAAAAAGTTGTGCAATCAATCAAGTGCCTACAAATAATCTGTCATTTCATTGAACTCGGAATAGCAACGGATATAGGTCTAGAGGAAAAAAGAGAAAAGTGCGTTTTTTAAAATCCTTGTATCGTATATTCCATCCAGTCCTACACCTATCCTGGAAATTTCTTGATGAAACGCACTTTTTTCTTTTTTGCCCTCCTGTGTATCCGTTGCTATTCCGAGTTCAAAGAACTTGATGACCGATTACTTGTAGGCACTTAATTGTGCAACTTTTTCACAATTGGGCCACCATCTATCTTCAATGGTTTTCAAAATCATGTAGGTACCTAACTTCAAGTTATTCCGGACACCCTGTATACCTAAGTAATTGGTAACACTATGATTTCAATTCATCAATTGCAAATTGTTTACTTTAGTCTATTTGAGAATTTGAGAGAATTTAAAAAAGAGAAAAGATAACGAGATGTGGTTTGTTCTGAGAGAATAGGAATTTTTTAAAGTTTTTTTTTCAAAGTAATAAACTACTGCCTTATTTTCAATGAAACACCCTGTATATTTTTTCATCGTCAGAAAGCCAGGGTTGGGGCTCTGTAACGGATAAAAATCGTTATCCCCATCGCTATGGCACTTGTCTTTTTCTCTCTTTTCGAAAACAATAGAGAGAAGACGTCAATAGAGATAGAGAAAATATCTCTATTTGTTTTTTAGTTCTCTGTTTCGAAACATTTACCTACAAAAAAAAATAGCTATTTATACAATAAGTTACGAAATGAGCGTCTTTTAGGCACGCGACGTGAAAATTGTCCAACTAGGCAAAGCCGAGTTGGACAACACGTCGAGTGACTAAAAGACATCGTTTCGTAACGTATTGTATACAAGATTTTTTCTACTGGCATTTTATAATAAAAAAATACAATTTTATTTCATGTGAATAAGTCGATTACACCCAAAATCTTTGTTACCTGCTTGCCACCTGACACTTTTCATGCGATTTTCTTTTGAAAATTCGACATCAATAATTAAAATCCTAGAAAGTAGGTAATAACACAAAGTTCTGTTTTGAGTAACCCAAACGTTCAATTCAGTAATTCCATTTTCAATATTCATAATAAATACAAAACAAAATTCAAATATGTGTTTAGTGTGTTTTTTATTTCTGAATAATGAATGACACTTTTAGGCACTAGTGCTTAAAAATTACTTTTACGCACTCATAAGTCACTTTTACGCATTCAAAAGTCACTTTTACGCACTGAGTGCCTAAAAGTAACTTTCACGCACTCAGTGCCTAAAAGAATGTCGTTTCAAAACTGAAATGACAATCGAAAAGTTGCTATTATGAAACGTCAGTAGAAAAACATATTTTTCTAATTTACAAAAATGTCTATTTTTTTAAAAATTATCTTTAAATCATAGCATAAAAGTTGTAAGTACTTTGTTAAAGAGGGTACCATCAACTGGCCAACAAAATAAAAAAATAAGTATTTCAAGCAATTAAAGGGACTTCAAAAGCTTTCAGGATTTATTGAGTACCTACCTAGGGTCTTTTTATCGAACAAAATAAACCGCGAGTGGATCTCAGGCTCAGAAATGGAATTATGATTTTTTTTCTCACTTAAATACAATAAAATCATGTAAAATTTCTATTAAATCACCTTTGGAAGCTTCTGAAAAATACTTCAAGCACTCAGAGGGACTTCAAAGTTTCAGGATTTATTGAGCTAGTTATTTCTATCGAACAAAACGAACCGCGAATGAATTTCAGGCTCAGAAATAGAATTATGAATTTTATTTCAAGCAATCAGAGAGACTCGAAACTTTCACGCGTGTGAAATTAGCACCCGTTTCTCAGCAACGATTTTTCAGGAGGAGCGCATCAACGGGTCAGTTAAGTTAGCCCCCCCCCATATTTCCAAATCGATTAAAACTTATACCATTTTTTTGCACCCATTTTGCACCGTTTTGCACCACCCGAAAAAAAATGAGCACCCCCTCAGGAGAGAAACTATATGGAAGTATTACTGGGGGGGGCCAAATTAACCATGGCCCCCCCCCACACGCCAAATTTCAATTTACAATAGCACAAATTATTCTCCGAGTTTTGCACCATTTTGCACCATTAATATTAAATTTTGCACCGCAACCCTTAAGCCTCTACAGGGGGTTGAAAGAGAAATAGTTGGCCCCCCCACACGCCAAATTTCGATTTATAATAGCACAAATTATTCCTTGAGTTTTGCACCATTTTGCATCATGAATATCAAATTTTGCACCGCAACCCTTAAGCCTCTACAGGGGGTTGAAAGAGAAATATTTGCCCCCCCCCACACACGCCAAATTTCAATTTATAAGAGCACAAATTGTTCTCCGAGTTTTGCACCATTTTGCACCATAAATATTTAATTTTCCACCGCAACCTTTAAGCCGCTACACGGGGTTGCAAGAGAAAAAGTTGGCCCCCCGACACGTCAAATTTCAATTTATAATAGAACAAACTGTTCCTTGAGTTTTGCACCATTTTGCGCCATATTTATTAAATTTTGCACCGCAACCCTAAAGCATCTACAAGGGGTTGAAAGAGAAATAGTGCCAAAGTACCGGTGATGACGTAGCAGCATGTTGTTTCACGCCTTAACGTAGAGTGTTTGCACCACAAGCTATAATTCCACTGGCTTCTACTTGAATATTCTAAACTGCGACCGCTGGCGCAAATAGCTGCCGAAATAGTTGATGTCGTAGCAACGGTGCTACACCAGATGATCTTGAGTCCCAAAAATAGGCCGATAAGTAGTGTGTATTATCCTTGGGTAAATTCGAGAGTAAATTATAGGGTTTCCAGCTGTGTTGGAACGAAGTTAATATGTCGCTGAGAAGCGCTGATAAACCAACCCAAAGTAACTCGTCTTTTCATTATTATTACCGAGCTTTGTTAGCGGATCACATTCTGGACCGATTCCGAACCAGTCCAGATCATATTAGGCTTGTTTCCTGCTGCAGAAATCACAAACCAGTCAGAGCGAATTTCATTGGTTGAAAACAGTCAGAAACAGTCAGAAAACTAGTTTCAACCAATGAAATTCACTCTGACTGGTCTGTGATTTCTGCAGAAACAGACCTTCTGGTGGCGTTTCCGGATGGTAGAATTATAGCGTTTTCCATTTGTCGAACCAGTGCAAAAAAAAATGTATCATCCTCACATGTTACATGCTTTTAGAAAAAGATGCGGATACATTCAGTGCGCACTGATTGACAAATGGAAATCGCCATTAGTGTAAAGAAAATGTATTTCTATCAGTTTCTTGAACAAGCTAAAAGAAAGAGATGGAAATATACTCAGTGCGCGCTAAAAACGCCAAGTTGCTATAGAAGGCACGCCCAGTTAAAAACCGGCGTGGATAATACACACTACTACGACAGAGGTTTGTTTGTATGTGTTGTTCAGGGTAGCACTTCCTGCTTTGTGGGGCGTTCGATTATGAGCGTTTCACCATGATCTGAAATATCACAGCTTAGTTCAAGTTAGTACGACACGAACAAACAAACCTCAGAATAGCCTATCCTCATAAGGCCTGTGTGGAACAAATCTGAAGCCCCCTACCTCGCCAAATCTCCAGTCCAGTTGTGACGTAGGCAGCATGTCGTTTCTCGCCTTGACGTAGGCTGTTTGCACTACAAGTTATGATTCCGCGGGCTTTTGCTTATGCATACTGTTTTACTCATTAATTAATATTCTAAGTGCCGGTACTTTCGCTCTCATTTGACAGCTGTTAAACATTGACAAGGGGTTTGAATGTGCTCTAACCACATGATACTCACCTGGCCCATGCAAAACTTTGACGACGTATCAAATACGTTAATCGAGAGTAAAAGTATTGGCCTTAAAACAACTTTTACAGATCTTGTTTTCTAAGCAACCCTTGTAGTGTGTATTATCCTTGATAAACCGGTTCAGGATTTAATAGGTCTGTGTCTGCAGACATCACAAACCAGTCAGAGTGAATTTCATTGGTTGAAACTAGTTTTCTGACTGTTTTCAACCAATGAAATTTGACGTGTCGGGGGGCCAACTTTTTCTCTTGCAACCCCTTGTAGCGGCTTAAAGGTTGCGGTGCAAAATTTAATATTTATGGTGCAAAATGGTGCAAAACTCGGAGAACAATTTGTGCTATCATAAATTGAAATTTGGCGTGTGGGGGGGCAACTATTTCTCTTTCAACCCCCTGTAAAGGCCCAAGGGTTGCAGTGCAAAACTTAATATTTATGGTGCAAAACTCAAGGAATAATTTGTACTATCATAAATTGAAATTTGGCGTGTGGGAGGGGCCAACTATTTCTCTTTTAACCCCCTATAGAGGCTTAAGGGTTGCGGTGCAAAATTTAATATTTATGGTGCAAAATGGTGCAAAATTTGGAGAACAATTTGTGCTCTTATAAATTGAAATTTGGCGTGTGGGGGGGGCCAAATATTTCTCTTTCAACCCCCTGTAGAGGTTTAAGGGTTGCGGTGCAAAATTTAATATTTATGGTGCAAAATGGTGCAAAACTCGGAGAACAATTTGTGCTCTTATAAATTGAAATTTGGCGTGTGGGGGGGCCAAATATTTCTCTTTCAACCCCCTGTAGAGGCTTAAGGGTTGCGGTGCAAAATTTGATATTTATGGTGCAGAACTCAAGGAATAATTTGTGCTATTATAAATCGAAATTTGGCGTGTGGGGGGGGGCCAACTATTTTTCTTTCAACCCCCTGTAGAGGTTTAAGGGTTGCGGTGCAAAATTTAGTAT